GTGAGGATATTTGTTCTCTTCTAGGAATTGGCAGAACTTGGTCTATGCTTCTCTTGTTTTCAAAGCATATACTAAATCCTCATTGAATGATTTCAAGATCATCCCTTGTGTTAGTCAGGGTTCTCCAGAGAAACAGAACTAGCAGGATATCTCTATCTCTGTCTGTCTATCTATCTATCTATCTATCTATCTATCTATCTATCTATCTATCTATCTATCTATGTGTCGTCTATCTATCTATCATTTATCTATTTATTAAAAGAGAGAGAGGACAAGAGTTGTATTGAAAGGCATTGGTTCACGTGATTGTGGAGGCTGAGAAGTCCCATGATCTGCTGTCTGCAAGCTGGAGACCCAGGAGAGCTGGTGGTGTAGAGAGCCAATGGTGTAGATTCCAGTCTAGGTTTGAAGGCCTGAGCACCAGGTGTGCTGAGGGTAGGAGGAGATGGATGTCCCAGCTCAATCAATTAAGCAGAGAGCAAATTCAATCTTCCTCTGCCTTTTTGTTCTATTCAGATTGGTTGATGGGAGAGCTATCTGCTTTACTTCTTCCACCAGTTCAAATGCTAATCCTTTCTGGAAACACTTTCACAGGCACACCCAGAAATATTCTTTAACCAGCTCTCTGGGCATCCCTTGGCCCAGTCAAGTTGACATACAAAATTAACCATTGCCCTTTGGCATTCCTACCTACAGGCATTCTAGCCGCTGGAACCTTCTTTCACAGATAGTATGTTTACGCACGCTCTTGTTTGCCTCCAGTAGGTACCATAGTATAGCAAGAGAAACCTTATGAACTTTCTGATGTTTGATCAATATTCAACCATTTTTGATGTAACAAAAGGCAATTTCATATGGTTCAGCCTAAGCCATCCCCTGCTGCCACATACAAATGCTCTTGTTTGAGATCAAAGCCAATATTATTTCTCTCACTTTCTCTACATGAACATATACACACATGCATTCACGCATGCACATACACACGTATAATTGTTTCTCCAGGACACATGGCTAGTAAGGAGAAGACCAGGGCCAAAACTTGAATTTTCCAAGTGTAGGGTTTGGGCTGGATATTCTCCATTTGCCCTTCCAGATTCACTCTAAACCTTTCCCTAGGAAGCTGTCCTCCATAGACTGCATCAACAGGGCTCCCTTGTCCCCTGACTTCTGGCAGGAGATCAGAGTTCAGGAGGTGAGAACTTTGGGACATCCCTACCTGCTTCTCTACTGGACCTCGGCTTGGAAGTGCCTGTGCTCCTCCCCCTGTGGCCATAGCTCACTCTCCGTGCCCTCTCCCACAGCTATGCCCTTTGCCTGCTTCTGTCATCATCTCCCTCCTAGGCTAGGGTTGGTAAGAGCTTCCGTTTTGTCAGCCCTGGGGAACTTCACCACAGAGTGGTGTTTTCCCTTAACTCTACCCTTGGGTTTGTTAACAGTACCTTTAATAGTCTCTTGGTTAATAGTCTCTTCAGTTGCCACTTTGACTTTGCCATCCATCCATTTTCTCCCAGGGTCCCACATACAGCAACTAGAAGGATGTGCAACTATGACATACAACTATCTACTGGGGCTTTGGGGAAAACAAGGAGGAGGATTGGCAATAGATGTTAGCTCAGAGCCAGTCTTCCTCAGCAAAAAGAGGAGGATTAGCATGGTTGTTAGCTCAGGGCTGATCTTCCTCACAAAAAAAAAAAAAAAGACAATACTGGCTAAGTTTCCTAATATGAAATACAAGACAATATTCAAACATTTGTGAAATATAATTCCATTTTCACTATTACTTTCCTATTAATTATTAGCTATGGGGCAAAATGTTAAGTCAAATACAATACAAATTTGGCAGCTAATCTTTGCTAGTACAAGTGTTTTCCAGCGTTTAGTCTTTGCTTGTGATGTATGTAATTGGATGTCACATATATGGAAAAAATAAATAACTGAATAAAATATTTTTAATACATTGGAATACCCTTTTGTTCTCTAACTGTACATTGGCTTAACCCCCCCATAACTGGTTCATTGCTAGCATCTACTGACCACTTGTTATGCATCAGCGTTGTGTTCAGTAATGTGAGACATTCAGAAGATTCATGGGGAATCACATTCCTGATTCTGGAAGACTCCTTGACAATGTCACATGCCCATTAAGCATTGGTTGGTAGGAATCAAAATTAAAACCTAGGTCTCGTGATTCTGGTTTAACCTTTCTTTTCATAAAGCTGCATCACAGTCGGCAGGTACTCAGTGCCTGGCCAACCAGATATTAGGAGGCATGAGAAAAGCAGTCTTCATGCATCCCCAACAAATTGTTCATTTTTACTTTGGGTAAGTGGTAAAGTTACAGGCTTCAGAGCTCTGTAAAATAAGCTAAGAGTAGTCGATAAATAAAAGTACATATGGTATTTCACATCTGTATCTGCTGTCCATTTGGTCCTCATAGTGTGGGGTAGGAACACTCTAAAGATGCATGCTAGGCCCTCCATGTTTAATAAACATGTGTTAATGAATTACAAATCCATTTGGAAGACTGTTTGTATCATAGAGCCTCATCTCCCAAATTCCTTCCAAAAACAGAAGCTAGTTTTGACATTGTTTATAGGAGATTTCTAGGCTCCTTCTGTGTGTTGGGGGGTCAAGGGAGAAGGGGAATGGAGTATTAAAACACGTGGATTGGGCTGGTCTAGTGAGAGAGCCCTCGATAGATACACCAAATGAAAGACATAAGGAACAGTGATTACTGACAAATCTTTGACTCTGTTAAGTAAGAATCTAGGGTACTTAAGGTTTCCACAAGTATTTATAAAACCTCCATAAAATTTCAAGGGAAATGAGAATCATTTTAGATGTCAGGGGACATCTAATTACAGAGTTTTGTTTTTTCATTTTGGGTTTTTTTTTAAGAATCGTGAAAAATAACCTCCAAGCCTGGAATAATGTAATGTAAAGTCTAATATACATATCACAAAAGGTACAGATTACTTTAATCAATATTCCATTCCACTGTTCAACCGTGGTTTCAGGGGCTGATGTGGAAATCCGGTATATTCCTGGCAATTCCTATATTGGATTCCTTCAACTACATAGGCTCCTCCACTTTAAACAGAAAAACGTGACATAAAATTGTTTAATCTTTTGACATATTTGCTGACTACTTCCTCAAAACCTTTGAACTACTACCTTGGTGAAATACTTAATATGTCTAGCTTCTTCAAAGCAGGCTCTGCTGGGGCTTCAAATTGGTGCTGTGCTTCCTGGCAGCAAGGGTAAAAGGGAAATCAGAGTAAATTACACTATTCTCACATTATACAAAAGAAGGCTGCAGATTAGCTCTTCTGGAGAAGCAAAATTTTTCCTAGTAATAAATTCCAAAAAATGTCTATTTAGTGAAAAAAAAGAACACTTATTTTCTTACTGCATATTTAAAGGATTATATAAACACTTCAACTCTTTTAAGTTGATTCCCAAGAAAAGAAATTATCTTAATGACTCTTCATTTCTCTCTTCTAGAAACAAGCAATTTGAGTATTTCTTTTGTTATGATGTATTAGAACCTCATTAATAGGGAAGCCTTACAAATAGGCCATCATTTTTTGAGGAAGATCACGCTGTGCTAAATAATGAGAAAGGGGAATACATTGAACCACTTGACTTCCACTGACTTTTACTTAAGAGTGTGAAGTGTTTTAAATTAGACTATGTTAGTATTGATGGAACGTGCACAGGGGGAAAAATAATTTAAAGGCTTTGTTTCATTTTGAGAGCTGGATAAATTGTGTAATTTAAAAATAAAGCACTGTGACCTGGCAGTAAGGAAACAACAACTTTCTTATGCTATTGGAGAGAGTGGAAATTGGGGCAATTTTTCGGAAGGCAATTCAGTGATGTCTATCAAATTTACAACACATTTACCCATTGACCTGGCAATTACACTACAGATTAGAATTTGCCCATAGATAAACTTGTAAAAGTACACCAACATAGATGTATAAGAGCTTTCATTGCAATATTTTTGAAATAGCAAAAGAAAAACTTTACAAAAATAATCTAAATACACAGCAATAAGGGAATGGTTAAATTAAATGTATACTCATTTAACAGAACACCCTAAGCCATTAAGAAGTATAAGGTAATTGTGTATATGCAGATATGGAAAGGACTCCAGGATGGTTTAGGAGGTAAATAAGCCAGACATAGACCATTATAAAATCTTTTCAGAATATTTGAAAAACAGAAATATCTACATAGATAGGTTTATTTAGATATATTTATATCAATTTATATTTCGAGGAATCATATGCATCTGACCCATTGTGTGCTTATCTAGACTGCAAAAGTGAATATGTAAGCATTGGCTCTGGCAAGGAGAGGTCCTAGATGGGGTTGGATTGCTGGGTGCTTTTCCTTTTCACGTGATAGCTTTCTGTACAATTTGATTTTTCTAATCATGTGCATACAATGCATCTATTTTTTTAAAATATAAGTATGAGTGTTCTGAAGTAAGTCATTATTGTTGGTCTTTACTTTTGTTTACTTCAAAAACCCGGTAAATAATATTTTACAAAAGAATAAAACACTGTTGTTGAGGTTACCAAGGTCATGGAGCATGTGAAGGACAGTATTGTCAGGAAATCAACTCAAGTGGTCTATGTAACATTCTCATCACAAACAAGTCACTGCTGCAGCATCTCTTTGCTGTGTGGAGAGTAGATCCACTTGATGTGGGACAGTGGGAGACATCATATCTACCTCCCCTCCTGAGCAAGAATATTTGAAATCAGTTATTAAATTGTTTTCCTACTCTGTGGTAAGAGAACATATTATGAAACAGGCTTCTGTAAACATGCATTCATCCTTAATAGATCTAACTTTGATTCAGAAGGGGGAGGAAATTTGTTGCATGTTTCCCGTGGACCCCGTAGTTTAATGCAGCAGACTCTACTTTGGAAGCAATTCCAAAAGGAAACAGTGGAATGACTGTCTTTTGCTCTTTTGAATCTTCTCAGAACTGCGACTTCTGGTGAGCCCCTCTGTGTGTCTGGATCAGAGCATACAGTTAAAGCTGAATACTTCAAGTCACCTTTTAAAAACAGTGAAGCCACATATGTGGAAACATTGGGACTGGAGGCGTGAAGAGCTGTAAGCTAATCACTTTGAATTGTTATATCCAGCATGCATTTTAGGAGACAGCTAACAAGAAAAAAGCACCAAACACATCTGGGGTTGGGGTGGAGTTACATGTTTGCATTATTGGGTTCTGTTACAGAAATTTTTGGCTATCTCTTCTTAATAAAGAACGCCGTCATTGATATCCTTCTAGACTAATTTAAACCTTTCCTGCCATAGAATAAACATTTGGGTAAATAAGACTCTTATCTGGGAAGTTACATTTATGGAAATTGAATTTAAAACCTTGACAATGTGAAACTATAAAATTTTAACTTTCGTTTTATACTCAGATGACATTGCCTTAGTCTATGAGTATGGCTGAATGCATTTTTTTTCCTAGTTATTATTTTTTTATGGCTCCCAGGATCTAAGAAAGCAATTGTAGGGTACCAAGTTACTAAGTTACCTCCAGGGGAAGGATTTTAAAATGTAAATAAATTATAGTGAAAACTTAAGAGATTTAAATTATCTTATCCAAGACAAAAATGAGTTTGCCTCATCTAATTTTATAATTATTAAGTAGTATTTTCACAGTTAACTGTATTTATTGAAGCACCTTATGCATCTTGTGCTTACCTAGACTTCAGAAGTTGAAATAGCACAGTCTTTTCACTGAAAATATTTAGATTTTTAAAGTATAGAAATACGGTGCAGAAAAGCAAATAGTTATACATTTTGGTATCATTTATGTTGAAAGTATATTTGTTTAATTACAAAACATTAAACTAGTGTTATTTTTCCTTTATAGACTGAAATGTTTTCTTAATACTTCATCCCTTAAGTTGATCCTTAATTATCTGTGGTGAGAGTTATTAGATAGAATCAAACTCATGGTGAAAGATTTTTGGCATATTTTGGTGACTCGTCCACTATTGAGAAAATTAACATCTTTCCTCGCCAAGGAAAAGATAGACCAAAGATAGGCGAGGGCAGAACCAAAAAATTTCAGGTGTTTCACTGCTCCCTAACTGAAAGTTGTATCACTTTTGTTGCAACGGTACTATATGTGACTAATTTAATTTTTTTTTTATTGAGGTAACATCGGTTTATAACATTATATAAATTTCAGATGTACGTCATATTTCAATTTCTGTGTAGATTACATCATGTTCACCACCCAAAAAATAATTACCATCCATCACCATGCACATGTCCCTAATCACCCTTTTCACTCTCCTTCCTCCCCCCTTCCCCTCTGGTAACCACCAATCCAATCTCGGTTTCTATGTGTCTGTTTGTTGTTGTTTTTATCTTCTACTTATGAGTGAGATCATATGGTATTTGACTTTGTCCTTCTGACTTATTTTACTTAGCATAATACCCTCAAGGTCAATCCATGTTGTTGCAAATGGCAAGATTTCATCTTTTTATGGCTGAGTAGTATTCCATTCCATTCCAAGATATACCACATCTTCTTTATCTATTCGTCCCTTGATGGACACGTAGGTTGCTTCCAAGTCTTGGCTATTATAAAATTTTTAAACCTTATTTTAGGTACTATCTTCCTACTTTTCTTTCTTTTTAAAAATCTTTTGATTAAATCTGCCAGAGTAGGGAATTCTCATCAATTTGATCCCTTTTCTCTGTACCTGGATGTCCCCTGGTAGTGATGCTAATAAGCAGTGAAATTGTCTAAGGAAACCCACACACTGAAGGCTGGGGTCCAACAGAGGATACACAGGGCGTACAAAGCTTTGAGGTTATTTATAAATTACATACTCACCATAAATTACGAAGCATTAACTAGGTCATTTTATTTTTTAGGAATCGAACAACAGTCCTTGCTCCACATGAAGCAATCTTTAGAGCTGAAGATCTATCTGTGATTCTTAAAGCATATGTGTTGGTGACATCCTTAACCCCTTTACGTGCATTCATTCATTCTACTGGCACAGTTTGGAATCCACCAAAGAAAAAACGCTTCACTCTCAAGGTAAAATTTCCAACGAAGCTGTTATTTCACACGAAGTATGTTAAAGATAAGTAAAGTAAGTTGGGCTGCCTTTCTCTGACCTTTTTGATTATCAAATTCCACTGAGCAAAGATTGCATCGTTTTATTGCTGCAAGTAGAGATTTTCATTTAATAGGTGCAGTTCAAAAATGAGCTGGAAACAACCTGATTCACTAGGGATCACAAAGGCTCCATCTTTTTTTCTCAATTCATCATTTTAGTTCAGTTCTTTGACCCTTTATACAGCTAGTTCTCAGCTGTAGTCTTTTTTTCTTGACTTTCCACTTATTCAAGAAAAATATAGTCAGGGCAACAAATGAAAATATAACTTTGCCCTTAGGCTTTTTGCTTCATTCTTAGGAAGCGTAATGCCTCTTTCATTACACCGGTCAATATGGAATATTTGCTGAGTAAAAAACAACACTCTCAAATGTGCCTAATACAGTAAGCCATGACATAAAGGATGATGGGAAAGGTTTCAGGGAAGAACTTAATAATAATCCGAAAAAGTTTGCTTATAAGGTGTAACTCAGGTTAATTCAGTTGAAAATAAAGTCTAGTGACAATGTGTTTGATAAATTTTAAGGAGTTTCTGATTTTACAGAATTAATTGTTCAGAAGACAGATAAAAGGAAGTGGGAAGAAATTGAAAGAATGCACACTGCTAAGACACTTCCTTCAAAGAACAAATACTACATGATCTCACTTAGAGAAGAAATCTAAAATAGTCAAACTCACAGAAGCAGAGAATAGAATGGTGGTTACCAGGGGCTGGGGAGAGGGATATGGGGAGGTGTGAGTGAAAGGGTACAAAGTTTCAGTTATGCAAGATGAATAAATCCTAGAGTTTACTGTACAGCATAGTGCTTACAGTTAATAATGCTATAAGATTTGCTAAGACGGCAGATCTTATGTTAGGTGTTCTTATCACTAAAGAAAGAAAGAAATAGGGTGGGAGGAAACTTTAGGAGGGGATAGATATGTTTATGACTTGATTGTGGTGACGGTTTCATGGTTGTATACTTATCTCTTAAACTCATCAAGTTGTATACATTGAATATGTATAGCTTTTTATGTCTCAATCAGAATAAAGTGGTTAAAAAAAAAGAATGTACAAGTGCCTTTCAGAGTTTCAAGGGAATCAAAAGTGACTGAACTTGATGTTTTTCAGAATTTATCTTAAGTTCTGGAAAATCTTCCAATTGTGAAAAATTTTTAAATAGCCTATTTAAATATTATCAGTTGAAAAACACATCAGCGTGATAAAAGATGGAGGTGTTATGTTGCCTAATAAAATAGCTAACATTTTAATGAAATGGTATTGATGACTTAGGTCTTAAGGATGTTTTATTCTGAAGACAATCATCCTATCTCAATTATATCAATATATATGGTTTTTAATTAATCATGAAAAAGTGGAATCTAATTCGGTTTGCCTTTCATGTTATCTCCCACAAGTCTTTACAGTTGCTTTTTGTATTTCCCTAGGTATCTTTAATTATTCCCAAATTTCCTCTTTCTATTAGGTTGAATTATATGAAATAGCTCATATTTGGCCATTTTTGACCAACAAAAAATTGCAGTTTCATATGATTCAACCTAATAGTTGGAACTCAGGTTTAGAGAGATACAAAAATCATATTCCTCACTTCATGTCACATTCATGCACTCAACAAGTATTTACTGAGCACAGACCGAAATCCTGTTCTTGTGGAACTTGCAACACCAGTGTATGCAAGACTCCTCTCTTGTTTTATATATTTATTTCATCCATTGTATGCCCATTTCCCATTCGGTTCTCCTCCCCATCAAAAGGCCACCATTATGTGTATCGTTTTGTGTATATTCTTATAAAATATGAATTTTTATTTTGTTATGCATGCGTGTATTTTTTAATATATAAATTGTATTGTATTAGGGATTTTTTTCTAACTTTTTAAAAATGCAGCACTCCGTATCTTTAGCAAGGAACCATCTACGTTGCTATGTGAACATCTTCTGTGTTACTTTTCACTGATTTGCAGTATCCATGATGTGTATTCCATTACAGTTTTCCTATCCACTCTTCCAGTGGCAGACATCTTGTGCTGTATCTCTTGGCTAGAGCAAACAAGCTTGAAATGTACAAATCCTTTTATGTGACTCTATGCACCTGCATGTGATTTTCTGGAGAATATATACTCAGGATTGGAACTGCTGGGTCACAGAATATGGTTCATTTGATAGGATTAAATAATGCCACCTCACCCTCCAGAACGCGTCTCTCAGTTTCTATGCCATTATTAGGCTTTCCTCATACCCCCAAGTTAACCAACATTTGTGTTTCCCAGCTTGTAACAGGTGGAAAGTAATATCTATCTCTTGCAAATAGTTCAATTTGCCATCTATTTTGTTAACTTGATCCACAGTGTCCTTTGTTGATCAGAAATCTTCTATTGATCAATCAAATTAATTTTTCTTATGGTGCCTGTGTTGGAGATTTTGTTCCAGAAATCCTTTCCTATCTCTAAGTCACAAAGATGTGCTTCTCCGTTTTCTTCTATTACCTTTATAATTCTTCCTGGACATAAAAATATTTTAATTCAACTAGAGTTCACTTTTGATCCAGACTTTTTTCCCTATGTAATCAATTATCACTGGCTAAGAACTCATCATTTCCCATGAATCTGACATCATCCTTATTGTATGAGTTCCCATATGTCTATGGAGCTGCCTCTGAGCTCTCTATTCTGTTCCAGTTGGCCCACTGTTTTGATTATTTTGGCAGTAGAAGTATGTCTTATACCCTCCAGGGGAGGTTCTTCCTCTACTTTTGCTTTCCAAGATTAGGTTAACTATGTTACAGACCTTTATTTCCTCACAAACTTTGTAGAATATCAAGTATATTACTAAATTCCTCCTGGAATTTCAATATATAAAAACATCAAATTTACAGTTTAATCTTTGAAGAATTGGCTATTCATAATATTAAGTCTCTTCATTTATTGAGATCATTTTCTTTGTCCTTTATTAGAGTTTAAATTTTTTTCTCCATAGAGATCTTATATGTTCTTGTTTATTTCTAGATTCTTTAGAGTATTTGTTGATATTGTTTGTAAAATTAGATTGTCTAGTTAGTTATTATTAGGATAAAGAAATACTATTTTTAAAGTTGAACTTCTATTTGGTAAACTTGTTCCAATAATTTTACTACTACTATTATTCATTTTACTAAGCAGATGATCATTTTATCTGCAAATAATGTCATGTTAATCTTATTCCTTTTAATTCTTGTATATCTTCTTTCCTTCTTTCTTTTTCTTTTTTTCTTTTTCTTTTTTTTCCTTTACTAATGTTGGCCAGAATCTCCAGTACAATCTTTAAAAGTAGAAATGATAGTGGGTGTTCTTGAATTGTGCTTCATTGTAAAGGGAACGTATTTCAAGTTTCTTCATTAAGTAAAATGCTTGCAGTAGGTTTTTGGTATTTAATCTTTATAATTTCTGCCAAAGTAGTGAGAATAATATAATTAATCACAATGTACCCATCATTGCATTTCAACTATTACAATTCATGGATAATCTTGTTTTATCTGTATCCTCTTTACTCCCCTTCCCTAATACTAGCTTATTTTGAAACAAATCCCAGAGATCATAGGATTCCATTTGTAAATCTTTTTAGAGTGTATGTAAGAGATATGGATTCATGAACTTTATCAAGCCAATTTCCCTTATAGTTTTAGTTTGCTGGGAGCCCTCATCATAAAAAGATTTTGAACCTTACAAATACTTTTTTCTGCATTGATTGAGATAATTATTTGATTTTTCTCCTCCTCAAGTTTATGTGGTGTATTGCATTACTAGATTTTCTTTTAATAACACCTCCTTTTGCATAATTGAGATAAAACCTACTTGATAATTTTGGTCAGCTTTTCAATACTCTGTTAGATTTGTTTAGTTATGATTTTTATATCTATGTTCATAAAGGATATGGACTTATATTTTTTGGTATTTCTCTTATCTGGTTTTTACAATTGTGATTATAGTAGCTCACAAAATAGAGCTGGATAACTTTCACTCTTTTTCAATTTTTTGGAGCAACTTGCATAAGATAGGAGTACTGACCCTTGGGAATTTGGTACAAGTCTCTTGAAAAAATAGATTTGGAGGTTTTTTGAAATAGCGTTGACATTTCAATTTATTTAAAACATTTCTCAATTTCTTCTTGTGCAACTTGGCATTTTTTTTTTTTAGGAATTTATCAATTTCATGTAGGTTTTCAAATTCTTTAGTATATAATTGATCACTATAATGCTTCAATTTTTGTATCTGTTGTGTCTATAGCTATTTCATCTTTTTCAAGTTATGATTTGTAGATATTTTATTTTTAATTTTTACTTCTTGATTAGAATTGCCAGAGGACTTTATAGTTGGTTAATCATTTTAAGAAACTAGTTTTTTATTTTGTTAATCTTTCCCATCACTTTAAAGTTGTTCCCAATTTCACAGATTTCTGCCCTTATTTTTGTTATTTCTTAGCTTCTAGTTTTTCCTTTATTTGCTCTATTGTCCTTTTTTAGCTTCTTCATTTGAATGCTTGCCTCCTTTATGTTTAACATTTTTTGTTTCCTAGTAAAAATGGCTAAAGCAATAAATTCCTTCCATATACTGCCTTAGTCATGTCACATAAATTTTAAATTATTTAATTCTAAGTATATCTTAATATTCTTTATGTTTGCCTTGTTTAACTCAAGCTGTTTAATAACATTATTCCATTTCTAAACATAGGATTATTTTTAACTTATCCTTTTGTTATGAATATCTAATTTATTGGATTATTATCAGAGAACATATTCTGTATGCTACTGCTATCTTGGAATTTATTGAGGCTTTCTTTTATTGACTAATAATCTTTCTATTAAAAAAAAAAATCTTCCATGGGTGCTTGAAAAGGAAAACACTAAATGTGGGTGTAGAATTCTATCTATATCTAAAGCCTTATT